CAGCAGGAAGGCCGGGGCAAGTTCGAGCTGAGTGGAGGGAGAGGGAGGGAACCTGGGCCCATGCCCCAGACCTCGCACACCAGTGGCTCCACTTTCCACTGAGTCATCTTGGGCCAAGTGAGAGAACTCTCCTAAGCCTCTGCTTCACTGGGGTGTTTTGAGGCTTAGGTGAGAAGCACAGCGCCAGGTCTGTGTATGGTGTTTTAAATAGTGTTTCGGGAGTTGTACACCAGATGGCCTCTATTTCTCCCGTGGATGAGGTGATCTGTGTGGGTGTAGTGCTTAAAAGTAGGGGCTTTGTTGTTAGAAAGACCTGGGGCAGAATTCTCAGTTCAGCCGTATATTAGCCCTGAAGACTTTGGGCAATTGGCGCTAGTTCCTCCAAACCTTGGTTTCTTCTTGTGCATAAAATTAGGATACTAGGACTTGTGCTTAAATTCAGATACGTGAGGATTAAATGAGATAATGTGTGTGAAACACTCAGCATGGTACCTGATACATAGTAAGCACTCGATAAATATAGCCAGAGGGTGGGACCTGCAGATGCTGGAATGCAAGGAACTTACTGAGCAGCAGGAGGACCCAGCAGGGGCTCAAGCTTTAAGCCAAAGGGACAAAGAATTAATTGTGAGAAACACACACGCACACCCTGCACACCTGCCCCTGTGATCCAACCCCCCCGCCCCCAGTTCCCTGTGACAACCAAGCCAAGGGTGGGCATGGGAGTCTTAATTATCAGATGGTGAGGACTTGGACTTGGTCTCCAAGTGCATCCCAGTCCTGTGGATCCCTTCCGGGGGAGGGGGCTCCTTGAGCATCCTGTAGTCTGACCCTTGCCTGCTCTGGAGGCCAGCCAGCTTCAGGTTCGGGCCTGTGGTGCCCCCTGCTTCATGCGCTGCTGTGCCCACAGGACCGGGGCTTCTGCGTGGAGGTGAACACAGCCTTTGAGGACTTCGCCCACGTCATAAGCTTTGACAAGAGGGCTGCTGCGCTGGATGCAGGCAACATCAAGCTGACTTTCAATAGTGTGAGGGGCCACGTGGGGTGGGGCTGTAGCCAGGGCTCCGTTCTGACTCGTCCCTCACTCTTGTTCCACGCCTTCTCACTCACTGCCCCAGTGTGACTCTTTTCTTT